CTACAGTGAAGACGATTTAGTGTAATATTTAAGCTCAGACTTGGCAGTTAGGCTGCAGCATTACAGCAAAGCAAATACACATAATAAATAAAAAACAAAGATAAAAACATAATCAGACTGTAGTAGTTTGATTGCATTAGGAGCTATTGAGCATTTGTAATGATTCCACCTAATCCATAGTTTGAGCTTGAAGGCAGAGCTCTGCATACAGAGGTCGATCATTCTCTGAGAACACAAATACTTCAGTCAGGCAGATCGTTTTCTGTCTCCTGTGATCTGCTCACTGTTTCTGACAGTGCTGTTGAGTGTTTACTCCTTCCAGTTAAAATTTTTTATTAGTTTTGTTATTAATTTTTAGTCATAATGTGGGGTGTGTTAATTAGGAGATTCAGAGATGAGGCTTGATATCCTCATTGGGATCCAGTCGGAAAGCACAAATCATGCTTAAAGGCTTAATAGTTCAACTTCAGAGTAATTGCAGTAATGAATCTGAACAAAGCAAACAAACACACGCTGCTCTGTCTGTAAAGAAAACGAACAAAAAAGTTTAGATTGCTTCAAATTCTTGAAGACAAAGTTAGAGAGGCGAGGCTGAGATGGTCTGGAGATGTGCAGAGGAGGTATGGTGGATATATTGAACAAAGATTAATGAAGATGAAGCTGCCAGGCAGGATTTACTAAAGCTAATTACTGGTTAAATTAATTTAGGATAAGTAACACAATGTATAACTCTCTCTTGGTGTAACTGCCACCCCATGTGAAGGTGAAAAAGTGTGTTATCTCTAAATAATTTAGTCAAGTAAGTGGAGAACAGGTGTTAAAAAAATACATGTGACATACAGTCATGTAGACATCCCATTATAAATATAAATATGCACCAAACCCTCCTCATGAATCCATCCACTGTTTCCATTCTCATCAGTATTAAACATAGCAGTAGGTGTTCTCTCTTTGGAACGGGGTTTACTGGGTGCGCCTAGCAGGATCACATGTTAGGTGTGGTGATTACAGGTCAGGTGCAGTGTTTAAACACACGCACGTGTCGGCTTCTAAGTATCATAAGACTAATTTAAGGAACAAGTAAACTTTAAGAATCAAATATGGTAAAGAAATTGGAAATACAGGGTTTAACGCCCAAATGTGGTGCAGCAGCTGTTTCAGGCTGCTGATTATTCACAGCACAGCAGTGATTGTTCATTCGTGTTCTCACACTTAACTTCAGGCATCATCGGTTCATCAACCCTTTGAACTGCGCTTGTGTGATTTATCCAACAGTGAACGATGCAGTGAAGGTACGCATGGAGGGAGGAGTGATGGACGAGTGTGAGGCAAGTAAAGATGTCCTGCTGAGTGACACCATGGACCAGTACAGGACTTTCCAGATGTGTGAGCGCCTGCTGCACAGTCCGGCCAAACTAGCCAACCAGCTGCTGTTCCAGATTCCACCTCATCGGCAAATCATGCTCATAGAGAGGTGCGGCCATGATGCTATAATTAAATTAACCCATTTATTTCAGAGGAGTCACAACTCTTTATTCCTGTATTTATTTGTCAAACCTCCTCCTTTATGCTGCATTTCTTCTCATGGCAATTCGTCGTGTCTCTTTCCTTGTTTAGATACTATGCCTTTGATGATACATTTGTTCGTGAGGTCCTGGGAAAGAAGCTCTCCAAGGGAACAAAGAAAGACTTGGACGACATCAGCGCCAAGACAGGTGTGACACTAAAAAGCTGCAGACGACAGGTAAGTCTTCACTGTGCATTGTAAAGATTGATATTTTAAAGCTCCGGCAGTGTGTTATTGAATGGTAGGATACAGCTGAGCGTTGAAACAAACAACAAATCACGCCGGAGCTCCTGTTGTCTGCCGGTTTCAACAATTAATTTGGTTTTATAGCTCTGGGTACATTTTATTAGTTGTGGTGGGATTTCTGATTGTGGAGCAGATTCTTTCAGTATTAGTAAATCTCTTGCATTGTGTGTGTAATTTCAGTTCGACAACTTCAAACGTGTTTTCAAAGTTGTCGAAGAGCTGAAGGGACCCCTGGTGGAGAACATACGTCAGCATTTTCTTCTGTCTGACAAACTTGCAAGGTAATCAGCGACAGGCACAGAGCACAAGCC